TTCGCTTTCATTATGCTAGTTAAAATGAAAAGAGGGAAAAACAGCCCTGCATACTCTTTCCAGTCAATTTTTGGGAAATGCTGTTTGGTGTGTTGCTTAAGACTGTAACCGAACAAGCTAAAAAGCTGTGGAGATCGGCCTGTCCCAGGTTTACTGAAAAAATACAGTTTAATGAGGTTTTTAGCTTTAATAATAAATAAGGCTCTTCTCCTTGAGTCACAGACTAATCAAGTGGCATTTCCAATAGCACTGCTCCAGTGGGCTTCTGATTAGTAGGAGGCTCCGTTGATGTGAAAGGATACACTGCGTCTTTCAGATGCTCTACTGCTGTGAAGTACAAAAGTAGTACGTCTGCTTTCAGGCACTGTTAATCACCTATGCTTTAAGGCCGTTTGTGCATGGATTAATACAGCAAGTGCCAAGTTATTCCTAGACCATGAAAATACTCAGGCCTTATTTATCTGCTTATTTATTCATGCCTTTATTCACTCTCATGGGACTGATTACACGTGTGGGCAGCTAGGGTCAGGACCTAAATGTGCCAGGGGACTGCCTTTTGGGGGTGGGGGAGAGAAACCCCAAAGCAGAGAAGTAAGAGATATGGAGCTAAGTTTTCTTCTCGAGGTTCTTAGAAAAACTGAGTAATCTTGAAAGCTACTCCTAGATAATTAATTCTGTCTTCCCTGCTTCCATTTTGCTGTAAAAGTGTAAGAATTGTCATAACCACCCCTTGCTGCTATTTGGTATGCATTTTTGGAAAGACACTGCTATGGAGCTCCTTGCAAATGAAATTATCTGTTTTTTTAATAGCTTTTTATACTTAATATGCAATTTTAAAACAAATTTTATTTCAAGAAAATATATTATGGAAGAGAGGCTGTCAGATTGAGTCTTTTCTGCTTTGCTTCCAGAATTTTCTGCTTCTCCTTAGCCCCTCCATTGACTGATTCCTATGCAAAACTTTAGTGGGGGAAAAGGCCCCCTCCTTCAATTAGCTCACTGTTTCCCCCCTGTGGTATGGATACTTTTTTTTTTTCATTCTTTGATATTCTATTCACAATCTGCTCAGACTGGTCAATCTGTGCACTGCTCTAGTTTGGGCTAAAGGAAACATGAGCAAGACTACTAGAAACACTTTCCCAAATGCCCATTTACACCTGAACTTGCTCTTTACCAGGATGTGAAGGCTGCAAACTGGGAAGGACTGAGCTGAAACAGGGAAAGCACTGGACTTTCTCTAGGAAGCTCCCTGGTGCTTCTCTGGGAGCTGTGAGGACCTCTTTCTTCCTCTGGTAAATACTAATTATAGTAAACCAGGACTAAAACTGTTGTCTCAGTGTTGTCTTTATCTCAGGCTGAAATCCGGAGCTGTTGTCTGTATCTCAGGCTGAAATCCGGAGCTTGCCACATGGAAAATGGAGTGTGTAAAAATGACAATCATAGAGGTGAAAGGGTAGTTTTTTGCTTTTTTTTTTTTAAACTTTTTTCTTTTATTGTAAAGCTGGATTCCTTGAGGTGTTGGCAATCTTGAGTAACTTATAGCTGCCTAAAACCATTTTTACAACATGGATAATTTGCTGCAATAATCTGAGCTGCTGGCTAGCAGACGCAAGAGGGGCGCTTTGGAAACCCAGTGGAAACCTCTGGGCTGGCGGTGGCAGCCAGCAGACGCAGCCCAAACACAAATTCCTGTAATTGCAACAGGCAGCAGCACTGAACCACTTCCAGCTGTCGCCCACCCTGCTGCAGGGTACCTCAGCATCACGAATAAGCAGAGCCCCATCCCCGGCCAGGAGGGAGCCCGAGGAAGGGCTGTGCCACCGCTGTGGCCGAGCGGGAGGCTGAACCGAGTAACCCCCCACTGTGGTTGCAAGCGGCATTTTGGCCAAGGAGCTGGATTTGGGTTGGCCTGAACTTCTTGTAACGATGCGGGAGAGCAGAGTAAGTCTGTGTCATGCTGGTGCTCATATACAATAGTGGTGCTGGGTAAAAGGCAGCCACCAGAAATTGTCTGCGCCTATACGCTGGTGGCGTTTTTCTGTCTGTTTTACAGAGACGTACATGATTGCAAAGCAATAGAAAAAACTGACTTTACCACACATCATTTGAAATGTCTGCTATCTCTGCCCTGGAAGTGGAGAGGAAGAGGAGAGGTTTTTTAAATACTGATTTTTATTTTCTAGAGGATGAATGTTTTCTACTGTTTATATTTTGTCTTAGACATCTTCTCATACTCTTGTTACTTATTTTCAAAACCTCTCCAATTTTGAGTGCATTGTACCTACCAATGAATACAGAACTTACTGCTATTTATAACAGTTGCTTTACTAAGTCTGTTCCTGTTTGTAAACTCAAAGCTGTATATTTCAAGGTGATTTCTAGATAAGCTTCTGGCCAGCATAAATACCAGTTTGACTGCTAAACTAGTGTTCAGTATCTTAGAGTTCAGTCTTCACCCATTTGCATGTCTCATCAGTAATACCTGTGCCCAACACTTTCATATTCTGTTATTTGTTATATGGAGATGTCAGACAGTGAGTTTCAAGATAACCAGCCAATAACTGGATTTATGTCTTTAAGACCTCAGAGGGTAGAAGTCTTATGGTTTCTGCACTTAGTTATAGGAAGCTAAGTAGTGACTCAGTAGCAGTGAATATAATGGTGGAGAGATTTTCCTTTTGCTAATAATAATCGTCCAGTACAAAGGTGGGAATTGGCAAGCGGTATCTCCTCATCCTGTCTTTAGTGGACTCCTGGTCATTGAAGGTACACCTGCAGATGTTGCTACAGTTGACCTGGTGTTGCTGGACACTTCTGAAAAGTAGGCCACACTTCCCTCCGTATTAAAAGAGAAAGAAAATAGAAGAAAAATTTGTGTAGAAAAGTAATTTCAGGAAAAAATATGTAATTTTTAAAATAAACTTCATACTACTATTTGGATTCCCCAAATCCTAGGCAAGAATTAGCAGTAGGAGGCAGGCACTCCTTGGCTGCCCTTCTGCAAGGGGCCTGGTGCTGACTGGCCACATTTCTGTGCCAGCTTTCCTGTAACACTCCTGTACATCGGTTTCATGCTCCATGTGCATTAACACCAATCCACAGAAAACCGCTTGTCCTTGTGGCAGAAAGTGTTCTCAAGAGACTCTTCACTGCATAGGCCTTCATGCTTTTGTTTCGACAGTCTCTCTTCTCGCACTGCAATGTTTTCAAGTCCTTCTTGGCTTCAAGCCTCTCATATAAGGAGTGCAGAACTGAAATAAATATGGATAAACACTTCCCAGCTTGATCCATCACAGAAACACTTCTTGATCTTGCAAGGAAGGATTCTCTGAGAATGATCTTTTTGGCTTCCCTGGGTAAATACATGATGCGTCTTTCCCCACAGGGTATACAACGTTGGGTATGCCCACGTGCCCTTTCATAAGCATGCTGTCCTGCAGTGCTGTCTGGGAGCAGAAAAAGGCCCCCAGCATGCCATCTTTGCAATGCAGTGCCTTGGCTTCAGAGAAGCAGGAGGAAGGATTACTTTACAGAGGTACAAGCTATTCTGACCGTCTTGGGGCTGGGTGACTTCCTACTGCACTTTCCTTGGGGCTGTGGTGAAATGCCATAGTCTAGCCCAATGCTTTAGCTTCAAAATCTGAACCTCCAGCCGTCAATAACTTAATGGAATTAATCTTCAACTGTTGCCATCCAGTATTCAAATATTAATGTGGCTGATGAGAGTGAGGCAGCGCAACCATGGTGGTCTTGCAAAATAACGCATCGCACCAGTGACATTTCCTAACATAAGTCAACGCTGCTTCTTCTGTAGAAGGCATTGTAACTCTTTTTTTAAACTGCCAGACAAAATGGCTTGTGCAGGCCTAACTTCTGTGCAACAAACATTAGATTATTACAGAATGGCAAAGGTTACAAAGCAGCCTCTGAAGAGGCAAGGAGGAGCAACTGAAATGCGAGAAGCGCCCCTTGAGATGATCAAAGTTTTAAGATGCGAGACGTTTTGCAGGTCTTTCCCTTTGTCAGGAATGCAACGAATGTAGCAGCATATAGGAGCGGGAGCTGGGATCTGAATGAGGCATGTTTTTCAGGAAACAATGACCCAGTAGCTCTCAGAGCTGCAGGTGATGCAGGGTCATGTTTCCAGATATGCCAGATTTACTTTGTGCTTTCAACAGGAAAGTTTTATGCAAGTTCATGAGCTAGGGGAGTGATCAAGATCTTTCAGCCCGTTCACTGAAGGGCAAGTATCATCCTGGACTAAACCCCTGGCTCTGGGCTTTTTTGTTTCCGTACTGCTGGCTCGTGCTGCAGGAGAGTGTGCTCTACTGCTGTCTCTTCCAGCTCACCTTCTGGGCTGCAGGGGACATGGGGCAAACACTTTTCTTTTTCCCATGATCCCAGTGATTCCTATGATTTCCAATGATCCTTACAGCTTTAACTTAGCAACTTTATTTATTTATTTTTTAGTAACTGATAGCAATTTCAAGCTTTGTGTGGCACTTTCTATGCTTTAAATTCATGAATGAATCCCAGAGCAACACTATCTGTGAGAAGGAATGCTGTTCTAAGTCAGTGAGGATGCTCAGATCAACTTGTAACTTAGTGTGCAAGTGATCATCTTGTACGATATTAGGATTAAAATGTCTTTGAGGGGAAGGAGGCTGTAATGTTAAATATGGCCATAACTATTTCTCAAGCATGTAAAATATCCCTTTTATTTCATCTCCTCCACAGTGCAAGGACTCTGTGCAAGGACAACACGCATATTTCCCAACAAGTGAAAAGCAACAGAATTTCTTAACTCTCTTTGAACTTCAAGTGAAGATGGATGAATACAGGGTGAGACACTACGGAGATGGGTCCAGCTGTAGATGATGATCAAATCTAATCTTTTAAAATAATGTACATGAATGGAGCAGGGGATGTGAGAGGCAGAGGGGAAGAAGTTTCTGCCTGTCAATTTTATTTTTGCAAAAAACAAATTAATGACATGGAGTGAAACTCACACCCATATGAGTCATTGTGCAGGCTGCAACTCTCCCTGTGCAACGCACCGACCAGGGCCGTTGGAGCTAGTGGAGTAAGTGGCAGCAGCCAAGCATCCTCCTTGCAGGCCAGCATTAAGGAGCGTCAGTCGGCTTTACTAGCTCATTTCATGGATGTTTTCCAGAAATCACAATTTCTGGCTCAGCCACATGAAGTCCTATGCTCCTGTATTTTCTTCTGATCTATCTCTGCTCCTACTTCGGTGTTTTATGCCATATTGGTTCGTTCCCACTAAATCCCTGTCCTAAGCCCCTTTCCAAAGGCACCTCAGCCAGTTGGTACCCATTAGGCATAGTCTCAGTTGTTTCTTCTGTATCCAAGATCGTCAGAGCTGTGAACGTTGCCTGCTTTTCCACACCAGCCTGGCTCCTTGCCATGTTGGTGTTTTTTTTTTTTTTTTTGGCGCAGCCAGTGTCAATTTTCCATGCCAGATCTGTGACTGATCTCGGTGTCCCCCTCTCAGACCTGTCTCCCACCTGTTCCTATTCCAGCCTCTCTGGGCCAGTTGTGAGGGGCTGAGGGAGGCATTTCCCTACCTGCCCCCTTTGTCTCTCTCCATTTCCCTCCCTTAACTTTGCAGGTCAACGCTTGTCCCTTCTACGTTTGAGTCTGATAATTTTCTCTTCCATGTTGCCTGGGCCAAGCAGGGGAGGTTGGCTGGGAAAACGCCAGTGGGGGTATCCTTGCTTTCATTTTTAGGTGTCTGGATCTGGCACTGTTTGGCAGCCTGGCATTGCAGTCCCATGGAAAGTCCCGCTTGGCCCCCGGCTGGAGCTAACCTGGCAGGCAGGAGTCCTGAGGGAATAGCTGAAATCGGCTGAACGGCTCATCAGCTAAAATTCAAAGAAGTCTTTATTGATAGTTTTTGAACTGAGGATTTTCTGTTTTCCGCTTTGTTTCTGAGGACTTGCAGCTTGCCCAAATCTGGGTAGGTTTTCGTTCAGACACGTTTCTGACACAAAGGGCGCATTTTTTTTCCCCTGTCGTGTTTAGTGTCAGATCCAAAGTGTGGTGGCGGTGGGGAACTTCTCTAGGAAAAGAGCACCCCCCCACACACACACTCTTCCCTGTAGCCTCACTCTGAAAAATGCCTGCAGTGTTCTGTCCAAAATCCCCTTTTCCGCCCCAAAATCAGGATGCAGCACATACTTGACATTTCCACCCCAGATTCCCACTCAAAAAGGGCAAAGTTTGGCAGAGTTATTGCCAATCAGTAATGGAATTTCATATGTGGAAGTTTCAGGTGACCTTGGTAGCGAGCAGAGCTGTGCCTCGGGTGCTCCCTGCTGCCAGCACCCCTGCCTGGCCCGCACCCTTCCTTGCTGCTTTACTTTAGCTCAAGGTTCCTCCCGATCGAGCCAGTTCCCATTCCCAGCTGGAATCCATGAGAAGCTTCTTGCCAGCTGCAGGGCCAGAGAGTTTGTTGCATGCTGAGAGAGGAGCACGCTTGAGGGATTGGCGAGAGGGCTGCAAAGCCTGGCTGGTGGGGGTAACCAGGGGGGCAGCGCTGCTGAAAAATGGGGAACAGAGCTGCACCTGCTGTTTCATTTTTGTTTCGATTTTTGTAAACATCAGTCTGTTTTAAAACAGTTTGCCTTTTTTTTTTTTCTTTTGCCTTTTAAACAGAAGATACCTATTGCTGGAGGTGTTGTGAGCAGGGAGAGGATAAGCTGTTTGATGCAGCGTGTGGTACCGAGCTGGGGGTAACGAAGGAGTGGGTATGTTGCAGGTCAGCACGAGTTCAGGCAGCGAGGTCTAAATAAATTGTGCCATTGCAGCAGCTATCATTTGATGAGAGAGAAGGTTTTGGTCACTAGACCAGTTTGTCTGTGATCTATGTACCTTTTGAAATCAGTACTGTATTTACCTCAGCAGTGTAGAGGTCCGGGTACAAACCTAAATATTTTTTAGCACACTGAGAGTTTAGGAGTGACCAGATATTATTATAGTATTATCTTGAAGTGTGAAGGTGTGGAAACACCGTAAAACGAGGTAAAATATCAGAGACTGAAGTAATGTCTTCATGTGGTTCTGACCTGTCATTGACTCGAGCTGTGTTTCTCTTAGGAGAAACAGATTTCCCTGTGGTGCCAGAGCTGGATATAACTGTATGGCACTCTTTCTTTGAGGTGAGTCTTCTTTTGAGCTGATGTGAATTATCCTACGTTTGCCATAGGCAAAAAAGCACACGTGTGGCCTGTTGCTATGAATTAACAGACATGCAATAACTGATTTGTAGGTCTAAGCCCTTACTACAGTCATGTGTTGTCATATCTCTGACTATTGGCAATGGGCTAGTTAATATGTAGTTTTTGGATTAAAAGAGTTTGACTATGATTCAGTGTATGTACAAAAACATAATGAGTCGATATAGCTTAGGATGCAGACTATATAATCTTTGGGCAGATTTAATTGTCTTTATAACTCTATATATGCAAAAAAAAAGGGGAGGAAGTAGACTTATTGGCATCATATTTTGAAGCTGCTTTTTATTAATGGCTTCTGCCACGTGAAGACGCCTCAAGGTAAAATTGAAGGACTTTGCCTATTGTGTTTAGTAGAGGAGAAATTAAAGAGAGGTAAGTGGACGGAAGTGATTAAGGTAGAAGAATAAAGGAGGATTTAAACAGCAAAGTTAACAGAATATACTTGCTTTGAACAGTGATGAATGTGGTATAGGGCAGAAGGTAGGAGTTAGAGTTTGAACGGCTGGCGACATAGTTCACTGTAGAGGCTAGAAAAAAATGCCATTGGCAGTGGTTCTGGGGTTTGGTCTTGCTTTTAAAATGAGCTTTCAAAATAAGCTTTTGGCAATGTCACGGGATTACCTTATTGCTGTCCTTTGTACGCGCTGTTCAGCTGCAGCTTTCCATGTGTGCTGGAAGAGTGTGAGCTGGGACTGGGATGGCACCGAGGGATTCCTGCAGCAGTCGGTGGGAGAGGAGACAGGAGGCCTGAAGGAGTTTTATGGCTGAGAAGAAGAAAAGTAATCAGCACATCTGGGAAATCCTCCAAAGGGAGGAAAAACTCTTCCCTCCACAGTGGTCTGTGTCCTTCATCGAAACAGATCTGACTTGAAGTCTTGAGGCTGGAGGAAAGGAGGTGGTGTGTGTATATGTATATATATATAGAATATATAAAACTGCAGGTACTCTTTCCTGAGAATTTGTAGCTGGAAAGTTTAGGGGGAATTGCAGGTTTATTTAGACAAAAAGACAAAAAGGAGGGAGGAGCCTTAAAATACAGAGAATTTTTCAAAAAGTCTGTAATTCTGATTACCGAATGCCTGCCCTGAAATCCTACCTAGAGCAATATTTTGTGTTGGATAATGAAGTGTGTCAAAGTTTTTAGTGGAAAAAAGATATTCTTACACTACTGTAAAAGGTAAATCAGTAAAACTACACTATATAGCAGAATTTATAAGTTAAATCAATAACCCCACACACTAAAGGAGTGCTTTGTAAGCTAAAACTGCACTGCACATCATACTAATCCTTTGAGAGTGTAGAGAGTTTAGGAGATTGGTTATACCATCTGCAGTATCAGTAAAATACCGTATTAGGCTACATATGCCTACTAAGGCAGGCGTCAGTAAATAAGTATGTGACATTAAACATTTGACACTTCGAAGTTGGTTTTTGATAGTGGAATGTGCGTATTGGTATGTTGCATTTACCTTTCCGTATATGTGCTCTGAGTGAAAATCAGCCCTTCGGTATAGCTAGTAGGCCTCTTTAAGTGTTTCCTGGTGTGTGGATGAACCTCCAAGATTAACACTGTAATAGGAACAGGAGTTGGAGAGCTGACACTAGTTTCCAGAGGTCTCTGGGGTGACTTATCTATAGCCAGAGAGGCTGCATTTGCCATTAATTTTTAAACGGTGGATGAGCTGGGCCGAATCCAGTCTCTGCTCCCTGCTGAGGCAGCAACGTGCACCGCAGGAGGTGCAGTCCCGGACACGCTGCCAGGGGTCGACTGCTCTCTTCCCACAGTGCTTACCTTTGAAAAGGGAAGATTGGGGTTTCCAGCAGGTGCCCTAGGGAGATCTAGAGGGTGTGCGTAATGAGTAAGTGCATCCTTTAACGCTGGCGGAGTTGGCCAGCGGCCTGCGTAACCTCCTGGGAAGAGAAGGTACCAGTTACTTCTGTGCCGTAACGTCAGGGTGAGCAGAGCTCTGCTGGAGAAGACAGAAACCAAATCTTACAAATATACATAATTTTGCTCAAATTGTACATTTTTGTTTTGATCCCTCTGGCTGCACTCTCGCTTAGGAGCGATTACTTACTGCTTCAGGCACAGTGTCTTGGTAAATGGCCGTGCAGGGCCTGAGCGGCTGCCTCTCCACCTGCCGCGCTGCGAAGACGATCCAGCCTGGCCAGGGCTGGCGCGGGCTCTCCGCACCGTGCGTCCAGCCTGCTTGGGGAAGTGCAGGCCCGTGCTGAACGCGGTGCGAGTCCCGTTCCTAACGAAGCCCCGATGCGTAGCCCAGCCGTAGCCCTGTGCGTTGTCCCAGCACTCTCGGAGTTATGCTTGGCTGAGGCCGGGTTGTTGTCTGAGACTCACGTTTCTTATATTTTGTGCTTTGTCATAGCTGCGAGTTTTGTTGATTCAGAACAGCCAGCTTTGACCAACTGATTAGAATTAAAACTCTTGTACTGGGTGTTTGTAATTAAAGTAGGCACCTACCATAACAATTTCCTCCTTTATTATTCTCAAAGGTACCCACTAGCTCTAGGTCCCCTGAAGGCTTATTGGCATTACATTTGAGCCCATAATCTTTATTTAGAAGCTTATACTTATGCATCTACTCTAATATTAAGTAACAAAGGTTGACGTTTTTGCTCTTCCTCCAAAAACTTCTATAGCTTACGTTTGCCAGGCTGTATCTGGAAACACATGCAATGCATTCCTTTTTATTTGGGGGGCCTCAGAATATAAATTGAGACTTTTGAGCTGCTCTTAAACGCTGAGAAACCATATGTGAGGTTGCGTTATTTGAATGACATTCAAAAATCAGAGGGTTTGTGCAAACATATCATTAAAAATAGAGTACAATCAGTAAAAGACATGAACCATTGTTCAACCTATGTGTGAGCACGCTCTGTAGTGTTGTGTCCGTAAGAAGGATGAGAATGAGAGAAAAGAGTAGTAGCTTGTTTAAAAACAACATGGAGTTGTCTGTAGGTGGACCCTACAGGAGAGGTCTGCAGAGGAGGTGTCTCCCGCTACATGCTTTGGCTTAGTGGTTCTGAAGTGAAGGAGGCATTAGCAGTCCTTAACTGGACTGTAACTACTGGTAATGCCAGGGGCTGGAATGACCCCTCCTGCTTGAGTTCACTGTGATTAAAGAAACATGGTGAGAACAAGCCTCCTCGAAGGCAAGGGTCACATCCTGCGCAAGGGTGGGTCAGCTCCTGCGGCTTGGTGGAAACTGTTCAAGGGGTAGAGATATGTGTGCTGGTACTTTAGAAGAAGCGAAGCGTTTGGTATGTAAGGACAGGAGCTGTTTTAAAGAAGGGTTGGACAGAAGGGGTGTTCTGTGCTTCAGAAAGTTTATGCTTTTCGTATAATCAGTTCTTCTGAGTTTGTTTTTTTTGTTTACTTTTTTTTTAGTACCTTTCCAAAAACTTTTTAGAAAATCAAGCTGCCTTGGGATAAGGTACAAGCACCTTATGATTTAGTAATAATTTCAATTTAGAAAACAAAGGGTAGGAATAAGCAACCAGCTTTTAACAAAAGGATGACCAGGGAACGGTTTCTATTCAGTCTGGTGCTGTTCAACATGTTGCTAAAAGGGATAGAGGATGAGAGTACTAAGTCGGCTCGTGATGCCAAGTCAGGCAGCGTAGTAAAGGTGAGGACGTACTGGAGGACTCAAGGAAGACCTCATAGTACAGAGTGACTGGAGGGCAATATGGCAGATGAAATTCAATGCTGATGAGTGTAGAATGCTGCACAGGAAGAGGAGCAATCTTTAACTTAGGTATACAGTGCTGGACTTTAAATTATCATTTGGGAAGGAACCTTGGGTAATAATAATTGTATGAAAAATTCTGCTGAGTGTGCAGCAGGAGTAAAAAAAAAAAAAAGGCTGCTAGGAATTATTGGGAAAGGAATAGGGAACAAAACAGAAAACAAAGATCTTCATGCAACAGTATAAATGGATGGCACACTTGAATACTGCATCCTTGGTCCCCCTTATCAGGAAGGATGCAGGAGAAGGAGAGAAGATACAGAGAAGGCTAATTAAAAGATATGGAACGAATCCCATATGGAAAAAAAACTAAACGCTTAGGACTCTTCAGTCTGGAAGAGACATATCTAAGCAGGAAGAAAATGAAGATTTATAAACTCTCAAGCGGCATGGAGAAAGCAAATAGAAAATGACTGTTAACTCTCTGATACCGTGGGAGCCAAGCAGCATCAGGTGAATGGTTAGGTGGCAACTTTAAAACAAGCAAAAAAGACTTCCTCTACATCGTATAGTTAAGTCAGGAAATTGCCACAGGATATTGTAGACACCAAAAGTTCATATGCTGACCAGGCATTTGGACAAATCCATCAAAGAAAACTCTCAGTGTTTATTGTATACAAAAATGCAATTCACAGTCCAGAAAGTCACCTATCCAGAGACTGCTGGGAGCTGGAGGGGCCCAGAGTTTGGGAGGAGGCCGGCAAGGGGAGGGGGGCCTCTGATCCATGTGTACTTGCCTTGTTCTTAAGCCCTCTATGAGGAGGAAAAAATATAAGTTCTGAGTGTATATATAGGATATTTGACTACTTGATCTCTGATTTGGCTATTTCTTAGTAATTAGACCCACATTATTCTATAGTTCAAGCCCATGACAAAAGCAGCTTGTGCCCTTAAAAATCAATTCCTGTTTTTTGGGAAAGGATTTGGTGAGCTCTGGGATCTCCCAGCAGAAGAATTTTAAAAAATAGGTTGAGATGAAATAAATATGTACTGTGTGAAATCCTAATTTGCAAAGGTGTTTTCATGCTTTTGGAGAGTCTTTTTGTCCTAGTAGCTATATGTAGTATGTTAGTATGTCACCCACATGTGGATAACAGTGATGCTGATCTCTGGGGATAATCTCTAAATTGTGATCATTTTTTGTATCAAGGCACTTGCTGTAGCTTTTCAGAGAGACTGAAATGCAGCTGACCTAATAAAACCTGTGTGTTGAAACACCTAATTTTTCTTTTCATTGAGGGTACTGTAATGTGTGCAGTATATGTGCTAAATACGTTGCTTTTTAGTTGGCTCTCCATGTAATGTTGGATTGCAACAGACTGCTCTCTGTCACACCTGATGACTAAACCTGTTTCACCTACCGCCATGGGAAAGTACTGGTGCATTGAGACTGCTTAGAATCAAGCTTTAGGTTGTCCTCAGATTTCAAATCTCCTGTGCACTTTTTTTAATATGGCCTCTAACTCAAGACATACAAGCACAAAAGGATTCCAGGCAACAATTCATCAGATAAGTATTTATTTATTTAACTCAACCTATAGAATTATGCTGGCAACAGTTTCTTCAGAGTTAGACTTTCACTGAGCAAAAGACTCTCTTTTAAGGACTGCTTTCTCTTTTTCAGGCACCTGCACTGAAACGTTCTGGATTTCATTGGGCATGGTAAGAAATTCTTCTTTACAGAAAAAGAATCAGTTAAGAGCTAGCTGGCTGTTTTGTTTACCTCCTGATACGTTCAAAGGGGAAGCACAGCTATGGAAACAAGATGCATTTGCTTTATGTTGTACATCCTAAAACACGAGGGAAAGATGTAACTAAAGCAAACACATATTGCAACCAGGTGGGACGGTGTTTACTATTGCAGTATGAGGAAATGGGTTCACACTGGCCCTAAGCTGGGGCTGAGGGCCCAGCAGAAATTGTGGAACGTCTGTCTGCATGATGGATAGCAAAACTTTTCAAGAATGCATGATAGCCACCTTTTAAATGTGGGGTTGCACATAATTCATGTAGTTCTAATGAGCATGTAGTTGCATTTCTGCTATTGTAAAGGTTGCCTAGTGAGCTCACAGTTACTAGAACATAGACAGGAAAGAAGACAAAGCTAGGCAATTGGGAAGATGCACTGTGCTGTGAAAGGAAAAGCCTATAATATTTCTATAAATTGAAGCATCAATAGATCTAAATGTTGCTGAAATACAAAGTAGTTCAATCTCATTGCGACTAAGGCTTTAGTCTTGCTGGCACAGCTGTGTCAGGAAGGGATTTATTATATTTTTGTCGTCATTGCTATGCTAGCAAAAGCCCTAGTATATATGCAGTTGCACCAGGAGAGAGAAAGAGAAAAAAGGATTTTTTTCGTGGACAACTTAATTTGCTCATGGAAATGATGTAAAACTGTACCTGCAAGAGGCTGATTTGCTAGTGTAAATTGTCTATGCTTGTGTAGCTATACCAATAAACCATTACAAGAGCATACAAGGACTTGCTGAAAGGAAATAATCTATCTGAAGCTAAAGGTAACAAACAATCTTTAGCATAAATTGGCTACCTCGTATGACTGGAGATGGCATGTACAAAAGTAAATACCAAATCCAGGGATGCCACAAGGGTGTGTTTGACCATTCCTTTCAAAGAGTTCAATTTTTGCCTAATGTTAAAGCTCAAGCTGAGGAAAATTGAAGACAGCATCATGTAGATATTTTTTCCTCCTTGGGTGTTTATTGTCTCTGAGGGGATAAGTGTTGGTGAGGTTCGAGACCATGAGTCCCAGAAAGCCTTGCTGCTAGACTGTGAGAGGTACCACTTTCCTGGGCAGCACTGAGGGAGTCTTGCTTTGAAGCCTCCCTCCCACATCTGTACTGGGCTTGAAGCCAGGCCTCTCTTCTGTAAAGAAACCTTGCTAAAATTTCTCATTTCATGCCCCTTTATGGAGAGAGAGTGAGTGAGATGGAGAGAGAAGGAGGTACGTGCCAAGTGTGTTGAGGGAGCATAGCAGAAGAGGCTCTTGATTTTTGTGTGCTCGGGGACAAGGGGGCAGCACGAAGGAGAAGGTTTTATGTTAATTAGCACCATATTTGCCATCCTTTCCTCCCACCTGAAAGTTCACCTCCTCTCCAAAATGCATCTATGTTTTTTAGACAACTGTTTATGTTTGAGCCCTTTGAACTAGCTGAGGCACTTGAAATAAATGCACTTACAAACGTGCCTCCTGCCAGCCTCTGTCTATTCTGCATATGGACACTTAAAAGAGTTGAAGAATGTTTCTTACATAGTTAGAAATATGCTAAGTTCACAGTGGTGGCACCTGAAATAGCTTCCCTCCTCCATCCCCCTTGGCGTGCTGTGGATTTGTTACTGCGTTATTTGATAAACAGTCACCAATTAGTCGTTCCAGTCCTTGCTAATTCAGCAAGTGCTCTCCAGGGCACCTGGGCAGCTTGTACGCGGCTCATGTGCTCGCCCCAGGTAGCTCTGAACTCGAGGAGTTTCCTTAATTGTTTCTGCTGTTGTTCCTGTTCAGAAGGTTTTACTACTCCTTTCAGCGAGCCAGGTGGTAGCATTACAAATGTTACACGCGCTACCTTACCTTTCCCCAGTGTGCCGCTAAAAACGTGCGTAAGATAATCTCCCAAACAGGATGCTCTTGTGTGCAGCATGCCTCTGCATGTGGCAGCTAGAAATAGCTGTCGGGGTACTGTGGGGAAGCCCCACTTGGTCTGGGGACGTGCAGGTGTCTTCCTGGATAACCAGCCACCTGCCTGTGCACCAGGATCCTGGTTGAGATCGGACCTCCATAACCTGGTTGCGGAGCAGTGCAGCACAGAGGAATGAGTTAGTCATCCTTGTTGCTAAAAGCTAAGGTTGCTTGCAAATTCTGTGGGTCAGCAGCTGTGGACGCGAGAAATTGTCTCTAACTCTTGTTCCTTATTCTTTTGTCTTACAGGTGTCTGGTGGTGACGACTGTACAATCTACTACTGAAGCAAATTGTAGAGGAGATGGCTGACCTGTGGCTATGGCTGCTTTCTGCGTATAAATATTATTGTGTGTATCTGTTTGACCATGGTAGGATATCTAATGTATTGTAGAAACAAGTTTGGTACCTCCAGACTTGATGTCACTTTCACCACAGATGCTTTCTTCCAAATTTATTTTCCCTCACTTGAGCCTTGGTATTTTAAAAAAAAAAAAAAACTTTAAAAGTGTTGTTTTCTAGGAAAACATACCCTACTGTCATTTTTTTGGAAAAAGGGAACTTTATTGTAAACACTGTTTAAGTGAAATATGGTGTACAGAATGTTAAGTAACTGCTGAGCCAAATCTCAGTGTCAACACAGAAATCCTTAGTAGAAGAAAAAATAAATATTTTTATTTTCTCTAAAAGTTTCCCTGTAAAATTCTTAAGATTTTTCTCACAAGACAACAAGAACCACAAAAAGGGTGTCTCTTCACTTCCCAGCTTGGTGGCAGAGTTGTTGGGACTTTTGACCAAGCATGCCAAACATATTACAAGTTTCCAAAAAGATGAAGCCCACCTTGTTAACCAAAGATATGCCTCATTTGTGGTGAGCAGGAGACTTAAGGATTAGATGTATCTATTTAAACACGCTTATCCTCGTATCACCACCTCCAAAGAAACTGCGAAGATGACTGTGAACCTTCTCTGCTCACAAGGTCTGGGCAGAAACTTGGGCAAAGCTGTTCAGCTGAAGTAATTACTTTTTTCTTTCCATTCCTTTCATATGCAATGACATCCTGCCTTTTGAAGTATATGCCATTCTTTTCACCTTGTTTCAGGAAAATCACAGCTGCTGCTGCATTAGCTGTTCTTCAGCATTTTCATTCTGATTTGCATAAGACTTTTAAAAAAAAAAAAATATATATATATAACAGTCTTAACTTTCACATATTTTTGCTATCTTAATCCTTCAAATGGGTTGTTTGGCCTCTACATACATAATCTTCTGGGCTCATATGGAAGATTGTAGGGAAAGGCTGATACCACAGTGTAGTATTTACAGTATGGTGCGCCATCGTGTAACCAGACTAAATAGCGAGGAATTATTCACAAGGAGGTGAGGTTAAATGTGCTGCTGCTGCTAAGTTCTTGGCTGTTCGATCTTAACACTGAATGCCTGGGTTTCTTTTTATGGAGTGACTGTTTACTCTTCTATATTTTTATAGAGTAAAAGGCTGGTGGGGAGAATGAGGGTGTTATATGCAGTAATGTTATAAATAACATTGGCGCTCAGATTATTTGCATTAGATTCACTTGCCTGAATGCGTAAAGTTAAATAAGAAAGTGTTATTTTTAAAAAGGGCAGAAGAATGGCATAGATAACAGATCTAAAGGAGATGTTATGGAACATATTTATTGGAGAGCGTTCGCTACCTAGCTAATAACCCAAGCTGAAAATTTCTTACTCCTCCCAATGCCTCAGATCAAACAGAATATTAAAACCTTAAAGATGCTGGCATAAGAAAGAAGATGAAGGCTCCTTACACAGTGCCCTTACCTTGCTGTGATGGGCAAACAAGTTGCAGAACTACTTTCCTAGACCTAGAGGTGGTGACTAGGGTGGATGGAGGGCAGCTGTGGCTGAGAAGGGGAAGCATGCACATAGGGACTGTTGTTCTTATCCTTTCGCTCTGTAAGCCATAAACTTTGGGGTAAATAAGCAGTGTATACTTTTGAGCTGTATTTCAGTCAATGTGGTGGTATTTGATTCAGTAATGAGATGTTCAGTGTTGCAAACTCCTGAAAAAACAAGGTGTGGGACAGGGATCCAGGGGAGAGAGGTGGTGGTTCCTCCCACAGCCCACCTGTGAGTGCTACTGAGGTGCTGGCCTCGCTGCTGTTGGAGGGGGAGAGGAAGGCAGACCAAGCTCTGAGCAAGTAATGCTCCTTGTGAGGGCTGGCTGACGTGTTTCAGAGTGTTTCTATGTGTGTGATTTTTTTTTTTTTTTTTTCCCCCAGTGCTGGAATTTACTTTGCAGAGTCTAATAATACCGGTGTGCGCTTGTAGTTTTATAGCATTTTTTGATTATGGCTATCGCTTGCAATACCCCTACTGTCACACTGGCCTCTTACTACACTTTCAGATAGTGTCTAACCCACCCTCCAAGATTATGGTAATGCAGTTGAGTCATTTCAGATATGCTACGCTTTCTTCCCTCCTCTCACTCTTCCTTCCAAAGGCAGCCAAATGCTGGCTGTGGCCGGTGGGGTTCTTCCGGCTTGTTCTTTCCTAGCATTTGTCTCTAAAAGTATGCGCCATCTGGGTGACCTTTCCTGCGAGTAGAAGGGTTAAATACAACTCCTTGCCCAAGCTGCTTCCTCAGTGCAGCGGAGAAGATGGTAGAAGATGCTGCCTCCTGTTTGTAACGGTTGTTTTCCCTGCCCTTCCTGCATCCCTTATCAAAACCTTGAATTCCTGCACGGCAGTGCTGTGTTGCTAGGCCACTGGGCCTGGCCACGCCATGCCTTCGGGGAGGGAATTTGAAACCTGGAGGGCTTGAGGCAAGGGGACCTTGAAGAAACTTTTGGAATAGCAGGGCACGTCTTGGTTCCCTTTTGAAACTTCACAGAAATGCCTGTGAATCTACAAGGGCGCGTGGCAAACCGCTGGAGGAGATCAGGGCAGTACTGGAGTTAGCAACGCACTGGGAGACGAGGGGGCTTCGGTAAGCGCTCAAACTCGAGCACGCGCCCCTCAGGGCTCCAGCGGCCAACCTGTTGGACTGATTGGTCCCATATGCCAGAGGATGTTGATTTGAGTCTGAAGCTTTTGTCTCTTCTAAGACTTCTGCTGAAATTAGCACTTCAGCTATGAATCGGCTGCAGGCGCAGTTTGTTAATTCAGCGATAAATTTAAGTAAGATTTTACATCTAGACTTGGCAACCCACTTGAAATCCTCATTTGAAAACAATAGTAAAGTATTAGAGGGAGTATGGCATGAGGTAGTCTAACAGCGTGTGTGTGTGTTTGTTTTTTTTTTTTTTTAAACCATGAGAACTGATATTTCAGTGACCTCTTAGAACTGCAAATATGTCGGAGATGGTGTGAGTAAGGGCAAACAAAATGACATGTGTGACAGGCCTTTGACAAAGCTCTGGACAGAAGATTACAGATGCTACAGTGTCATAGACTGAGAGGCAAAATATTGTTATGGATGAAAACAGGAGGAAAGGAAAAACAGAGTAAGAGTAACCTGCTGCAGTGGGAAGAGATCAGTTTGGTGTTGGCCCTCAAAGTTGGCTAAGACTCCTGTTAACCCATTTATTACTGGTACGGAGAGAGGAGTGGGGTGATAAAGTAGCAACATTTGCAGCAGAGTCAATTATTTAGTCTACTTGGGAGCAGCAGGAACTCTAAAGACTTTCAGAAAAGTGTAAAGTTCCCAGCTGGATGGGCAGAACAATGATGAATAAAGATTAGTGGGGATAAATACAAAGAAAGACCAACTGGAAGAAAGAGGGTGAATGGTCTTGTGGGACTTGGAAGAGCTGAGTGTGACAGCTCCATGGGACACTTGCTCAAATTATGACCACATTAAAAGAAAAGTGGTGTTAGCTTGCATATTGTTCAAAAATGTTACAATACTGAATAACTGGGAGAATACTGTAAAGCTTTTTATATAAACCAATACCTGTGGTCTCATCCAGAACACAGGGTGCAGTATTCACCTCCCCAGTTCAAAAAGGATGTGGCTGGAAGAGGTGGATTTGGAAGAGGGTGACAAGAACAATGAAGAACCTGGGAAAAGTTCTGCCAAAAGAGATGCTGAGAAGTTTACTTCAGAAAGTATAGAAGAGGAGAAACGATGCTAATATGGAGGGTAACGGGTATGCTGGAGACGAGGGGTCAGGAACTTATTCTCTTCTCATCCCATGGCATAGGCCCAAAGGGGCACTAGATGAAACTTGACAGTTATTCACAAAGATAACTAACTCTTTTAACTGATCAGGGAGGTGAGATCAACATGTCAGGCTTCATGTCATGATCTCTATTTTAATAAAAAATTTTAAGTGGGGGGAAAGGCTAGGCAACAGCAGTAGTCCCAGCCGTGGGGCAATTAAGTCTTGACAAATGTGCATCTGCAGAGGGATGATTACTTTGCTACTTCATGCTCCAGTTTTCAAACTGTTACTTGAATGTTTCCTGAATCATCCTTCTTCTGAAATCCTGTTTACGTTCTATAAGGGAAGTTAATAATTCAGTGTACTGTGCTCATTTACCAAAAAGGAAAAAAAAAAGCCTTTGATAGAGATGTCTAGTGCTTGTGCTATTACAGTGTCATTCAGCTACAATGTAACTTCAGTGTTTAAAATATCTGCTCTAATATCTAAATTCTCATGATTCTAATTTGTGGGCTTTGGAAATAAGCTGTGTGTTTAGTGGCTTAATTAGCTGGCCTTTATAAAGCCACTTACTTAGGTGTATGTGAAACAAATGTGTGTGCGTGTATGTGCACAAATGAATTTATGCAGAAACCTCATAGGGTATTGCCCAGTAGGATGAAAATTAGAATAACTTTTTTTTTTTCCCTCCCTAATGGCTTTCATGACATCCTTCTTTCAAAGCTGTATATGGCTGACTTTTTCCCCAGTGGGCCCTAATTCCCTTCACAGTGTCGGAAGGATGGCTGCAGCTTTGAGAAATTGTTCCTTCAAGCAGAGTCATCCTTTTTCTCTTCCCAGATATTTTGCCACTGCTCTGACTCCACGTTCCCTGCACTACGGTAGTGCATTGGTTAAATTTTCCTAGAGGCATGATGCAGCTCTACAGTGACATGTCCGATGATAAACTTGCTGGGGAGCATAGAAGCTAATGCATGGCCTCAGATATTTTTGCACTTCTTGGAACATAGATATTAATCTAAACATCCATGTGCCCTTTGTATTGATTTGAAGTATATGGAGACATTGAACACGTGATCTCTAAAAAGATCTGTCATGCAGAGCCTTTCCCTCTGTTTAGTTTCCTCTACACAGTCCTCAAGAAATTAGATATTTTTTTAAAAATAAAATGAACAAGAAATCTGATGCTTGATTCTTCCTTCTGATAGGAAGATTTTTTCTATTTTTTCTTAAAGAAACATGGATAAATTGATTAGGTTTTTTAATATAAATATTGTTAGGGAATCTCTCAGGCTTGTAAAGAGAGAAGTGTTTATTTTAGAATGGTATGTATTTCCAGATAGAGATCAATTACTAAATTATTCATTTTTCCCCTCTCTCCATTTTACTGTGGCCTTCATTTTTAGGTGGCTGAAATGATTAATGGGATGTGCTGGGTTAATGCCTTATGTTTGGGTACTCAAATGATAGAAGCAGCTTTGTGCAA